GATTGAGGATAACGACAGCTTAAACTATTACACTTTTGATGAAGATGATCGTACGGTTGTGGAAACTGCCCCTCCGGGTGCTGCATATAACTCTTCAGCAGCTCTTCTGCACCAATTGGCCAGTTGAAACACAAACTAATAGTTTAAGGGATCAGTGAATGAGCATTTTTATAATACATTGCATCACAACTGCAGATATAGAGAGAATAGCATGGCTTCCCTAGAGCTCCGTGCTAACTTTCTTCAATCAACCAATGTGTTAACAAACGAAATTCACTCCTGTTTCATCATATTTTCTGGCCAATTGTAGTGGTTTTAAGGAACTCTCCTTTTCTAATGATAGAAAAATCAAGGCAAAAATCTCTGTACATGTCCTAAACTAATAGTCTCTGAACCCTTTTGAGCATACTGTCGACTGTTTCTGTTTCGAGATATTCTCAAAATTCTGGAAGAAACTATTAAGTCGACGACACATTCATTCTTACTGAAAATACTTAAATTCATCCACAATAAATGTATAATACTATACTCTAAACAAATACCAAGCCTGAAACTTTCCAGACTCAAAAACAAGAAAATATACAAGGACCAGTTGTGGACACACAATCGATGCTTAACTTATGCGCCCAATCCTTGCTGCAGTTCGAATGGAGCCTCCTGGCCGGATTTGATAAAGTGTTCTCTATATCGTGTGTAAGGATATTTAGGAATGCCATTTTTTATATCAATGGATTCTATAATTAATATCTTCGAGCAACACATAATTATTTAAAGAAACCCATCCCTGGTCGTGTGCGTTTTGAAAGTCGTTATATACTTTATTTTATATGTGTATTAAGGGGGGGGGGGGGGGGGGCGGGCAAAACTTTTCCAGCTTAGATCATAATATTTGTTGAAACCGCCGAATTTCTCATGGAAGACAAAGCTTTAGGCAACAGCGTCTGTCAGTTAAGGCAGTCAGTCAAGATTAGCTCGTGTAGACGATAAAATCGTTCAGAAACATATTGTCAGTTAGATATACAAGTACACACAACGGCCGTTAAGCGTGCCAGCCGCTTCGTGTTGCCTCACGCTGTTGCCACGTTGCGGCAACAATGGGCGTAAGGAAATAAATTTTGAAAATAAAGAAATTTAATCTCAAACACCTTTATTAGCACGTCTAGCGAGGTATAGCGATAGCTATTGAACGAAATTGAAATGTGAAAATTCTTAGTGGCAGGTAAATTAGAATGCTTCTTAAACATACAAGTAAAACAAATTTCAATATAAATAAATGTCGCTGTAATCAAGAAGTAATAAGCTAATACTTTGTATATATCAACAGTCTAGATTGAATAAGCATGCTGAAAAGATAAGCAAGAGAAAAGATGTAACAATGTGATCTGCATTTTTAAAAAATTCGGTTAGTCTTGTTGAAAAGGACAGTCAAGGTGGGCGACAATTTGGTTGAGGAAGCTCGATGTTTCATGAATATACAAGTACATACTATATAGTTCTAGAGGTGAATGGTAAATGTTACACATTTTCCACGTTGCTGCCCATTGTTTTGATCTTGCCTCACGTGGCTGATTTCATAAGCCGATAACACATGCCTCTCCCAGCAACAAAAAACAACAGCAACAACAACAACAACAATAACAACAAGTAGCTAACTTACAACAACTGTAAACAGACGCGTTTTCCTTGGAACAACAAACAATGCCAGCAGCATTTGTTTGAAGCAAACGTTGACCGACCCGTCGCGATCTCTTGCTAATTTAAACAGTTTTGGAGATCGCGACAGCTTCTTTACAGGCGACTAGAGCTGTCCGTCGTCCCGTCTTACGGTTTCCGAGTAAACTGTTAACCGCGTTTATTTGTACATTTTCAGTTAATCTTGGCCAGCATGATTAGCTTACAGCTTGTTGAACAGCAGCAGCAGCAGCAGCGGCGGCGGCGGCAACAACAATGACGACAATACAACCACTTGCCACATGGTGCAAGTGTGGAAGTGATGGCTTTTGAACTGTTCACATACCACACACCGCACGCTCTTGCTTTTGCTCGTTGTTGTCGTTATCACAAAATCGCATTTGCCAAATTTGTACTAAGCCGGAAACGGAAATTGCTTGACCAACATAAATGTGTGTGCGTGCGTATCTGCGTGTGAGCGAATTGATTTCCATGGAAATCAAAGCCGTTGATGTGAGTCGATACGATGCATTTTCCACTGCCTCTAATCAGGCGCCACCAGCTCTGATTATTGCCAGGCCTCGCTGGTCAGCGAACCTGCGTGAACTGAATGGCGGCCGCCATTTTGTGTAGTTTTGGGTTGGGGGAGGTGGGGGGATGGTAAGGTATAAATTGTTGGTATTTACAGGCTATTCATTGCCAAGGATTTCAAATTTAATGTTAAACAAATTGGTCCGCGAAGTTCTCAAACCAAAAATCCGTCAAAAATCTATTTTCGAAATGTGTATACCCTGTAGGGTTAAAAGGGTATATTATGTTTGTGCAAAGTATGTAACAGGTAGAGCGAATCTAAAAGTATAATCATTAAAAATGTTTGTACTATTTTTTGTATATCCCAGAAAAAAAATGTGTCCATTAGAAACAAATATTTCTTGAATTTTGAAATAAGCATTAGCTCCACTGTAATGCATACTTTTAGTGAAACAGATAATTATTAAGAAATAATTTTGTTCCACTTAGATAACACTGCCTTTACTCCAAAGTATTAACAAGAAAGGAATGCTAAAGTCGAGCGAGCTCAACTCTTAAATACCCTGTACTGCCCCACAAAAATAAAAATAAAATAAAAAAAATATAATTAATTAGTTTAATTAAATATAAAATATTTAACACATGCATACAGACATAATTGCTTATGTACAATTTTCAACAGCATACATTTACATCAGAATCGTGTTTATGCGTGCTTGTATGCCGTAAAAAAATAAGTCAAAGCAGCAACCCCTGCTGGCAGAGCATTGGCAGAGATTATGTTAATGGCTATAACTTTCTTCATAATTAACCTATCATGTTGAAACTTGGCACACAGACACATAATCACTTTATGTGTCAAAATATGTTTGATTACAAAATCCAAGAAACACGGGAATTATGGGGGGTGCATCAGAAAAAAAACACAAACTCGTCCTTTCTCGGACTTGGGAGAATCTGGATACCGAGTTTGGTTATTCTTGCTCTTGTACTTCCTCAGATCCTTGCGTTCATACAGACGGACGGACGGACTGACAGACGGACTGACAGACGGACATGGCTATATCGACTCGGCTTGTCATCCTGATCAATAATATATACACTTTGTGGGGTCTGCCACGCCTCCTTCTGTATCTTACATACATTCGCACATTCACCCTTTGGGTACAGGCTATAAAAATGTCTATTATTGGCCGTTGGCCAACGGGTATTACTTCCGACCCATCAGAGAGCTGATGTAGAGCCGTTCTTTCATTTCCCTATTGTTGAATGGCAAATAAAAATTTACAAAATTTTGATACACTTAAAATCTTACACAAAATTAAGCGCCTAATTGCAACCACAAATGTTTGCTAGAAGCGATAGGAAGGAAAAGAAAACTCCAACAGAAATTGGCAGGTAGCAAAAAAAAAAACAACCACAACAAAATGGCGCCTTAAGAAATTGCTGCTAAATGCGGCCAACAAAGAAAGAAACAGCAACAACATGGCCTATTGTGTTAAAACCGCTTGGCCAGGAAAGTATTCAATGGGCTGCCCTCTAAACAATACAAATAAAAACCGCTCAACAGACCCCAACTCTTTCTTCGTCTACATTCAGTCAACAGCACCATCGCCAGCGCCCAGGAATGTCCACGAATCTGGGGCCAAGAAAAACTTTGTGGAAAAATGAAAAATCGTTCAAATCGCCAAGCGCCAAAAGTGCTAAAACAACAACAACAACAGCAACAGCGTCAACAACGGAAAACCCTATAGAAAAAAGGCAAAAACGTGTTGGCCGACCCAATGGGCCAAGTCCAAGTGACCCAGAACTTGTCGTTAGCGTTAGGCGGCATCAGCCAAGATATTGCGGCATGGCCAAGGCGGCGTCATTGTTTGTCGTTGGCCAAGAGCGGAACGGGGGTAATTCGGGGCTGGATGATAGAGATAGTTTGATGACCGCAAGCAATTGATATTACGGAATAATATTAATACAATGTGTGAAATTATTTAAAAATATCTCAACTTTTTATATAATATATATATATGATTATACATGTTTAAATAAATTCCGGGCATCTACAATTGATTATTTTTCAAAACAAAGTAACGTCTTACAAATTCCCCAACCGGCAAAAAATTTCCCCACTGTAGGAGCGAATTCATCTTCGTCATGTTCGCCTTGGTGAGAGAATAGAGCAGCGAGTGTAAGAGCAGAGAGTGTGATAATGTATTGCGCAGGTGCGTTATTGGCACAAGAGATCGCTGAAATCGATGTGACGTCAGTTTTGGCAGGGCATATGTTTTCACTCAATTTGGGCTTTGACAAAATATTCGCTTTGTCACCACTCTATTTGTTTTCAAATCAGTTGTTAATAAATAAAATATTTCTCCAATGACTTGGTTTAGTTACTCTAAGGTTTTCCGATTTCGTTATATTTTCTAATGTAATAATAAAAACTAATTTTTAAAAACTTATTATGGCGTAGCAAGAAAAATAATGGTAAAAAATTCGCTTATTGTAGTGGTCCATTATAGTTGTATTTTGGAATTTCTACAAGCTGTGACGTACTGCGCAGACCAACCAAAAAGCCGTACCTTGAATGCATTACCTTCAAGCTCTGTTTTATCGTGCAAGAGAGCAGACCAGAAAATGAAACTAAAGGAGAGAGAGAAAAAGAGAGAGCTCGTACTGGTTTGTAGCTGTTTAGCGCTCCAGCTGACTATATTTCACACTCGCACGTTGAATTGAGTTTTGAACGTCGGCGAGTGCGGTCGAACTGTAATGTGTCGCGCTTCATAGTGTGCGAGAGAGCAGGCAATAGCTAAAGAAAAGAAGTTTGTGTGTGAAATGCAATAGCATAACGGTGCATAGCACAGTAAACGTCTAAAAGTTTTATTTAATTAAATTAAAATTCACGCTTTTTGTTTGTCGCATTCTTCCTCGCCAAGTACTGCAGCAGCACATCAACCAATAATAACAACAACAAGAGCAGTGAAGTGCAAAAACCGGTTCGCCTTTGCAGCAGCGATATTAACAACAACAACGAGAAGCAAACCAAAATCAAAGCAAAGGCAAACGGCGAAAGAATTTTTGTTGTTTGCGTGTGAGTGCGTGTGTGTGTGCGAATGCGAGTGCGTTTTGTGGTCCAACAGCATCTCCCGGTTGCTGCCGAAAAGGCAGTAGAAAAGGCGTAAAACAAGTAAACGAAGAAAAAAGCGTAGTAGGAATCTGTAGCCAGAGCCGGCCACACTGCCTTTTTGGCTGTTTGGATCTTTTGGCTGAGAAGAATTTGTGTGGCAAAAGCAAACCAGTTCGTTGCAGCCGCAGCAGCAGCAGCAGCCTACCCAACAACAACTACAATAACAAAAAGCTATAACACAAGTAAAACAAAACAACGAGCAAAAAAGTGGCACAAGTGAAAATTCCTGCGTTGTGTTTTTTTGACAATCGCCAAAAGTGAAAATCAATTTGCTGAGCTTGCGCGTGTGTGTGTAACAGAGCGGGAACCGCTGAGAGAGAGAGAGAGAGAGCGTAAAATATTTTCGTGTCCTTTGGCAACAAAACCTACACCCAGTCGAGAGAAACTTGACGAAAAACTAAAAGGCAACAACATATACATACAACAACAGCGTAGCAATTTGGCAAAAAGTAAACAAATTCCAAAAGGCACAGGCACACATACATATGCATACACATACATATACATATGTGTACATGGAGTCGCAGCAGCCGCCGACTAAGGGGAAACTATAACAAAAAAAATTAAAAAGGTCAGTATCCTCGATTTGATAATGTCGTTTTACAATGAGCAGCAGCACCATTTGCCTGGATAAACAAAGTAGCATATGGACTGCATAGTGACAGAAGTCGGGGTCTATATTCCAAATAAAGCAACTTGTAGTATTTTGGTACTCACTTGTTTTGCAGTTGACAAATTATAAATATTTACTACTTGTATATAAGTAGTACAATTTTATATAAGTACTACTATTTGTATATTAGTAGTCTCTAAGTTGGATGTTGATTTTAAATGTTTGGGTAACAGAGATTTGACAGTTCCATACCAAAAACAATAAAATCAGTCCAGGCTGGTTATTTTCTACTCCTTTACTATTAAAGTATTCTATAAACTTCTTATCTTGAACCTGGATATACTACAATTTGTAAGAATATAAGAATGAAAAGCAATGATGAAGAACTTTTGGCTGCAAATTGTGCTTTAGAAACTGAAGTTAAGATATTTTTCTTATTATGTACAATAATTCATAAAAATTGAGTTCTTTAGGGCATGAATGCAGATCAAAATTTAATAGAGCTAAAAATGAAAAAGGGGCCTAGTCTTTCAAAAATAACTAGCGCTTCAACAATTCTACCTACTTAAAATGTTTCTAGTTGCATATACATAGTTTTAAACGTTGTATAAAACTTTGAATTGCATTATAGTACAAAATTAAACTGAATTTTCTTGCATATTTAGCCATGAAAGTATTTTTGAAATCAAAAAGGTCCGTTATTATATATCACATATCCACAAGAAATTGGAATGTCTATTTCATTTTTTTTTCTGCTATAAAGCAACCATCTTATAAATAAAGAAATGCTTGATTTCTGCAATAATACTTTTGTTTCACTGTAAAGCAACTTCCTTCCTAAACTAGTCGTTTTCATGTGGCTTTTACTGTACCTCCGCATTATGTATAACTGTTAATTGTCACTGTCGACCTTCACTTTAACATTTTAAACCACGCCATAAATTTTACCTGCTTTGCCGATAGCAACGATATTCAACGCACTTTTTCTTAATTGCAAGCGAAATGTTTAACCAAAATAAGCCGAAGCATGTAAATTCTCACATATACATATGTACATTATATACACATTTATGTATGTGTGCTGTTATAGTGTGTGTGTACGTAACACACTTGCGTGTTCTTTTGCGCTTATCAGTCAGGTAAGTAGTCAAAACAAGACTCTTCTGGACTGACTTCCGCTTGCTGCTGCCACTGTTACTCAGCTGCTCACTTAACCCAAAGTTGCCCTTCGAATTGTTTGCATGCTCGCACTCCAAAGCATGCAATATGGTTTCATTTTTTGTTTTTAATTTTTGTGTCGTTACATAAGCAAAGCATACAAAATTTGGCGTGTTTGTGGCTTGTTGCTCACAATAGTTAACTAAGTTATTTTTGTGAATCTATCCATCTGTCTGTCGGTCTGTTTGTCTGCTGGAATGCGTGTGCTTATCAGATAGGCATATGTATGTACATTCATCTTTAGACATCAACTGGGCACGTAGAGGCGTGTGTTATGCTCAGCAGCAGCTTCCATGAGTAAGTTTATTTAGTTGTTTTTTTTTTTTTTGAGTGGCCGCACGTACCGGCCCAGTGGCCAACGCAATGTTTACACAGTCTAAGTATGATTTGCCAGATTTTTAACTACTCAGTGGGCCTTATGGATCTGATAAATATGTCAGAGAGCAGTCTGTGCAGAAACTTGGCACCGCATCTCAATACTTGGGAATCCTACTATTCATAAGTATAATTAAACGCTTTTAATTTGGAAGTTCAAGTTGATATTTGTTCAATGGCTTGTTTTGACTGTAAAAAGTATAATGGAAGAAATGAATATTCTTGGTTGCTTGCGCCAGAGGCTAGATTTAAGTCAAGGCCTAATTATTCCAGACGAATTTTGTAAGTACATGCGAATCACATTTTATGGCAACGAAAACTTCTAAGCATAGTCTGACTCTAAGCTGTGCCTGCCTAACTACTTGTAGGTGAGGGTTCTATTAAATGGTTAGGCAGTTTTTCCCAAAGAGTCGGTAGCTACATACATATGTCTGCTGACTTGGAGTTGTTGCAGTTGTTTATCAAAATATTGTTTACATATGCAATTAGCTTATTCCAAATTGTTGTAAAGTTCCTCACATCTTCTAATTATTATTATATATCTTGTTTTAAGTAGTATACTATTACAGCGCGTCTATTAATCTTTTCATTTAAATGTAGCTCATAGTTTTTTGGACTCAACAATCATTCGTGATCATTACTGAAAGGCAGCTATGTAGTATATTTAGGTTTATGGAGCATTTAGCTAATACATGCTGTTAACCAAAACTGGCAATTTTTGGTGTCTTTTCGTTTTTATTTTCATCTAATTAACACAAATTGCAGTTTCAGTTTTCGACACAATGTCAATTTTGCAGTGCCATCCAAATGTGGCCCACAAATGACATTTCTTTGGACTAAAACTTGGGGCCATTTCGCCAATTTGCATGAATTTATTACTCGTATTTATTTAAATCAAGAGACTCGACGAAATTCACTTTTATGGATAAATAAAAAAACGTGTCAGACAGAGAGGCAAACAATTTTGATTTATTTAATGAGTAAAATTATGGGGCCGTAGGCGTCAGAGTCGGTATCGACGTCGACGTCGGCGACGGCGATGTTGTTTTTTGAGTGGCCACTGGCTAGTTATTTTCATTGCTGTTGAGTTTTACAGATCTTAAGCAATTTTCGACTGTTGTTTTTGGGGTCAATTAAATTAGTGGCAGGCGACCGATTTTATTATTACTTTTGAAAACCATTTTTTGCGTTCTGCAGATATTGCTTGATTTTTTGTGGGCGTTTGCCAACTACAATAATTTATAGATACAAGCAGCGGGAGAAAAAAAAAAAACGACTAACGCATACACACACGCAAAGCCCAGGCGGGCAGACAAGAAACAACAACAAAAACAAAGAAAATCGATTTAAAACAGATGATTTGACATCAGGCGCCATTCCAGGCCAGAGCAGAGCAGTGAGCAAAAGATATGTACGCCCGTATCTCAGTGGCTGCCCTGACAGGCGTAGCAAGCATGGAAGGCCGGCATGGCAGCCCAGGCATATTTCACAGACAGTTAAGATGTCTACACGCCGATAGCTGAGCCTCTGCCAGTCAGCCAAGGACAAGGCGTTGTGAAATTGCCGCACACTGAGAAAAAATGCCAACCACCCAACCACCCACAAAAGTCGCCCACATTTTGCTCACAGTTGCCCAACCCAAAGAAATTTTCCTTTTATTCTTTTTGCCAAATTTTCGCTCAACTTTTGCAGCCAACAGCTGTGCCTAGCATTCCGCTTTCTACTCCTGTTTTGACTGTTAGGCCTTGGCCTGGGCCGCGCATTTCGTAGCTGGTGTTCTGGCCATTAACATGGCAGCCCAAAACTAGCTGAGCTGCTCACGCCTGATGCGTATTTAATGAGCAAATGATTAGCATTTTTATGCGCGTGTTAGTGTTGTGGCTTCTGTTGTTATTCTGCCTGCTGGGAATCCTTAAAGTAGTAGTTTGCATTTTGAATCTGTCGTCCGATAACAGAGAGGGAATTGTCATAAATCTTTGGCCCTGGGCTTGTTAGGGGGCGCTGGCCCAGTTAATTGAACTGTCAGCTGCTGCAGTAAGTAGCTCCAGCGGTGACAGGAATTTCATAGCTGCTGGCCATTTACTTCATTGACATTATTTTATTTTTGGTTAATAGTTTCGACAGTTGTGGCCCTGGCATTGCAATAGACCGACTGATAAGGTTGCTTGATAGACCTAAAGGGGGAGGGAAATGGGGCAATGCATAAGCGTCCTTAAGCTCAGGCACGTGCCTTCCTGCGGTTAGTTGACAATTTATTGTGATTCATTGATCGCCGGGCTGCTAAGGAGATACAATTATTATACCTTGCGAATCTTGGAGCGTGGCAAATAAATGATGCCAACTTTGCAGACAATGTTGCTGCTACTTCTGCTGCTACTTACGGTGATGATGATGGGGTGATTTATGAAAGTTTAGATACAAATAGTGCAAATAAACGAATAGGATGCGCACTGATAGACAGAAAAAGTGCGGCAGGAAATTGAAGCGTACTATTTGAAATGGACCACTAAGACCAATATTCCATTAATTTTGTTCATAAAGTAAAGGAACTATTTTCTTTGGACAACGCACTTAGTATTACTTTCCGTATAATTTACGGGTATTCCTAAAACCTGAAATTCCATAACGCTAATTATTCTCTTAAGCCTCAACTGCGAATTTTGTTTAAGTATTTTTTTTTTGAAGCAAACTGATCTTTTGTAATGGATCAGTGCATTAATCAGAGGTTTTATTCTTCCCTAAAACACAGAAGATTCATTTCCTGCTATTTTCTTAAAAGGAGTGTATACATATGTATATCAAACATATTCTTCCTTTTAAGTGCTCGAACGACGCGTCGTTGCGAACTATTATCAGTTTGTTGACGGCTGCATAAAAAATGTTCACAATTGTGTGTTAACCAATTCAGAAAAGTTAATATGCTTTACAGAAGCCATTTAAGCAGATCCTTGAACTAATTTTCCATACTAATGTATGCGGCGGAAACAATGTGAACGAACATGGGCGGAAAAGGAAAACCTCAGGCCCTTTTTTCAGGTTTTCCGGCAGCACCAATGCCAATGCTATTGAAAACAAAGTTTGAACTATTAACTGCACCCAGAACCAGACCCAGCCCACATGCACACACACATCCACACACACACATGCGCTTCCTGTACAACCCACTGTGGCAGAAGTAAATGAAATTATGCGCCGCGCCATCTTCCCCTGCCCTGGCATGTGGAAATGTCTGTGATTTCACTGGGCTGCATAATGCAATTAAAACACATTTTCTTTTGCTTTTCACTTACTTGAGTGGCGCACAAAGCGAGGCAGAGAAAAATCAATAAGTGTGTATAATATCTATAGTATGTGTGTGTGTGTGT